TGCAAGGTGAATACAGCTGGGAACAGAACAAGTGTTTGAATGCGTACATTAACAGGTTTATGATATCACTGCCCGTCTAAGACACCATCTGACTTTCATTACATTTGTCTCGAGTGTTTCGTCAACTTAATGTGTTGCTTAAAATAATCCTTCTGCATCCAGTCTGTGACGCTGTGAGTGTTGCACGGCCAGATACGGCTCAGCTGACTCAGATCAGGAGATATATGATACATTATGAAGTGATATGCCGCGGACTGTACTTAATGTTACTCTGATCCGGTTACTTATGTTGTGGCAGATATTTCAGTAAGCTTTCTTACCGCTAATGTTATAATATTCAGATTGCTCTGAAGATGGAGGTGATATTCTATTAATGTTCACGTTCACACAGTCGGTGATTTCTGCCGGCCGTCTTTCCTGCAACGGCAGCTTTTCTGTATTTCCTTTCTCCTGTAATATGACTTGATCGCTTTAAACTCCGCACACTGAGCTCTGATTGGTCAGCAGGCGGTGCTTTCACTGAGTTGAGCTCTTAGCCTGCAACCTAACCTGGTCCCGACCAGGTTAGCCGCTAAGCACAAGTTACCATGGAGATCTAGCCTGCTAAAAAGAGAACCAGCTTCGTAGGACCGGAAAGCCGGAGTTTCCCCTGAATTTAGCCGCTAAGCGAAAAACCTGCTTCGTAGTATACCCCCCAGTTATGTGTTAGGAGTACTATAGATAGTAGGAGCTTTTCGCCTCCGCACCGGAAACCGCAAGGTTTTCTTGCCTGCCGTCTCCATCGTTTGGGGATGGGGACCTGGGTGAGTTGTTGTATCGTTGTCTGTTGAGGGTATGTTTGTATATTTTCTTTGTTTTTGTTTTTTTTCTCCACTTTGCAATTGCCCGGGCCACTGCACTTTCCAGTTCGTATGGGATAGATGGCGGATAATGGTTTGACTCCAGATAGACCCAACTCCACAAAATTCTTGTCCTGGAATGTAAAGGCTATGAACAGCCCTGTCAAAAGGTCAAGAGTTTTTTCTCACCTCAGAAAGATAAATGCAGATGTCGTTTTTTTACAGGAGACACACTTACACATCAAAGACCACCATAGGCTAAACAAATCAACATTATAGTCAGGCCTTCCACTCAGATTTTGACTCCAAAGCCAGAGGTGTTGCAATCCTCATAAATAAGAGGATACATTTTTCCACCACTAACATTATTTCTGACAGAAATGGGAGATATTTAATTATTACTGGTATGGTTTGGCAAACTCCTGTTGTATTGGTGAATGTATATGCTCCCAATTTTGATAATGCTGCGTTCTCTAACAGCTTACTGAGCAAAATCCCATGTCTTAACACCCACCTTTTAATACTGGGAGGGGACTTAAACTGTGCTATTGACCCATCCTTAGACCGCTCTTCTCCCACCACGTTCTCTCCGTCCACTATGGCAAGGTCATTTTCTGACTTTATGTCTCTGAATGGCCTTGCCGACCCCTGGAGATATAATAATCCTCAGTCTCGTGATTACTCCTTTTTCTCTCATGTACATCATTCTTTTTCTCGCATTGACTATTTTTTCATTGACCATAAATTGCTGCCCAAGGTTACCTCTTCAGAATATTTACCAATCATCATCTCTGACCATGGTCCTTTAACTCTGGACATATCTCTGTCTACTCAACCTCGTACACCTTCACGGTGGAGATTCAATTCACTCCTGCTCTCTGATGCCAAGTTTTGTAGTACAATCTCCACTGCCATTGATGACTTTCTGTTTTCTAACAAGACAAGCTCCACCTCCCATTCTCTATTATGGGAGTCGCTCAAGGCCTACCTCAGAGGGCAAATCATCTCTTATGCCTCTTATTTTAACAGGACCCGCAGAGCTAGGCTGGACGGGCTCTCTAAGGCGATACTTGAGTATGCTTCGACCCCGTCCCCAGATCTTTATAAACAGCGCCTGAATCTCCATTCGGAATTCAATCTTCTATCTACTCAAGACGCAGAGCGTTTGCTACTGCACTCAAGGGGAACATACGATGAACATGGCGATAAGGCTAGTCGATTGCTCGCGCACCAATTAAAACGCAGAGCAGCCTCCCGATTAATTCCTAAAATTCTAGACTCCTCTAACAACTTGACCTCTGACCCAGCACAGATTAATGATGATTTTTACTCTACCTTGTATAAGTCGGAGATGCCATCAGACACCACCAATATGACTCAGTTTTTGGAAGAATTGACGATTCCCTCAGTTCCACCTGAGGTTGCAGATGACCTCGATTCCCCTCTCACTCTTGATGAGGTTATGCAATCCACCAGGTCAATGCAGAGTGGTAAGGCCCCAGGACCTGACGGGTTCCCTCCTGAATTCGTGAAAAAATGTGATGCTAAGTTGGCCCCTCTGCTTTTAGCCATGTACAATGAATCGCTTGGTAATGGCTCACTTCCACCCACCTTGACACAGGCTTCAATAGTTCTCCTCTTAAAAAAGGATAAGGACGCGACTCTGTGTAGCTCTTATAGGCCGCTCAGTCTCCTTAATGCTGATGTCAAGATACTGGCTAAGGTTCTTGCACGACGGCTGGAGGTAGTCATACCAGAAATCATTTCTGAGGAACAAACAGGCTTTATACAGGGGAGATACTCATTTTCGAATATACGTACACTTTTCAACATAATTTACTCTAAGCAACCCTTCCTGAGGTGGTTGTCTCTCTTGATGCCGAGAAGGCATTTTGATCGGGTAGAATGGGGATACTTATTCTCTGTCCTTAAGAAATTTGGATTTGGGAACACATTATGCTCTTGGATTCGCCTTTTGTACTCTTCTCCCCAAGCTAGTGTATGCACCAATGATACTCATTCAAGCTATTTTGCCCTTGGACGTGGTACACGACAGGGTTGCCCCCTATCCCCTATACTGTTCGCACTGGCTATTGAACCTCTTTCTGCGGCTCTACGTGCCTCTACCTCTTTCCGGAGGGTGACAAGGGAGGGCAGGGAACATAGGCTATCTCTTTATGCAGATGATTTACTGCTTTACATTGAGAATCCGGTCGCCTCTTTGCCCTCTGTTGTCACAACTCTGGACAACTTTGGCTCTTTCTCCGGCTACAAGCTCAATCTTCAAAAGAGTGAATGCTTCCCAATAAACTAAACTGCACTACAGCTCCTACAATCCGATCTGCCCTTTAAAATATGCCACTCTGGTTTCACCCATCTTGGAGTAAAAGTAACTCGCTCATTGTCCGCCTTGTTCTCTGCAAACTTCGCTCCCCTCCTTGTTCAAATTAAATCAGATTTCCAGAGATGGGCTAACCTACCTCTATCGCTGCTAGGCAGGATAAATGCTGTCACTACATTCATCTGGGCAGGTAAGGTGCCCAGGGTCAGTATATCCCTACTTCAACAATGCAAACTAAGTGGAGGTCTTGCGCTACCTAACTTCTTGTATTACTACTGGGCAGCAAACGTTCAAAAACTATCATTCTGGCTGTGTGCTCTAGATGTGCCATGGTGCCACCTGGAGGCTCACTCCCTCACCTCGACTTCGCTACCTGCTCTTATCTGCTCTTCTCCCCAGTCAAGCCTCTCTCGCTTTACTAGTAATCCCATAGTCCTTTCTACACTGAAGATTTGGTACAATTTCGCAAGCACTTTAAGTTTTCCTCTGCATCCCTTCAGGGTCCAGTCGATATGAACCATCTCTTCCCCCCACCTTTAATGGACGGTGTTTTCCCTCTCTGGAAAAGGAAAGGCATAAGGTCATTCCAAGACCTTTTTGTAAATGACACTTTCCCTAGCTTCCAGACCCTGGCTTCTAGATTCTCTTTACCATCTTTTTAGCTATTTTCAGGTCAGGCATTTTGTCTCCTCCCATTTTCCTAACTTCCCCACTCTCCCTCCCAAACAATCCTGGGATGACCTCTTGAAATTAATGCCAGGAGAGAGGGGGTCTATCTCCAAAATCTACTCGCATATTATGTCACTAGATACATACTCTATGAGCAAAACTAAAATGGCTTGGCGGCAGGAATTGAACTTGGAACTACCCGAAGACTGGTGGGATAGGGCAATTGACAGAGTGTGAACTTCCACCTCATGTGCTCGCCTTGGGCTCATACAGTTTAAAGTTTTACATAGATCACACTTTTCCAAATCCCGGCTATCCAAAATATACCCCAATGTAAATGACAAATGTGACAGATGCCATCTATCCCCCTGTGACCTTAGTCATATGTTTGCCCACTGTCCCAAATTGAAAACTTACTGGCAATCAGTCTGCAAAACCCTCTCAGATGTTCTCAAGACCACCCTGAAGCCATGCCCCTTAATAGCCATCTTTGGTGTCCCTGCAGATTTGTCCTCATTAACCTCCAAAGAAGCAGATATTGTCTCTTTCACAACCCTCTTGGCCCGTCGCAGGATTCTCCTCAACTGGAAGTCCAAACATCCTCCCTCTATTTCTGCCTGGCTAACAGATGTGATGTTCTTTCTTAAGCTTGAAAAAATTAAGTATTCCTTAAGGGGCTCCAATGAAACATTTGTCTCAAAGTGGCAACCGTTCATATCTTTTTTTAATGCCCTACAAAAGCTCCCCTCAGATGAGGAACTATAACTTAATACTGGCATAAACAATACATTGCCCTGTATAGGAGGTCATGATGTGGTCCAGGCAATTTGCACATTTTTGCAATTCTATCTCATTATTTTATTTTATCTTGTTCATTTACTGTATTGATTTGATTCATTCATTTGTGTCCTCTTATATCTCTATGCCTTATGCATCGACAGATTTCTCGAACGTATAAATAAGTATTACAGTTGTTACTGATGTTATTACCATGCTCTAGCGACCATTTTATTGTGTTTTTTTGTTTATTTTATTTGTTTCAATTGTTTGTATCACCCTCTCTGTTGTGGGTGGGGGGTGGGGGGGGGAAGTGTACTGTGTGTCTGTTGTTTGTACTGTGATGTAATAAAAAATTAAAATTAAAAAAAAAGATGGAGATGGTGAAAGAAGCCTTCGTAGAAGCAGCAGACGCCTTGTTTCGGGATTACACAAACAAAACAGAAATAGTAAACGCTATCAAGGCCGTCCAATTATCACGGAGCACAGTCACACGTCGCTGTGAAGTCATGGCTGAGGATTTGACCCAGCAACTCAGGAAGGACATAGAAGACTGCGAGTGTTTCTCACTCCAACTAGACGAGTCCACTGACGTGAGCGATACAGCACAATTGTGCGTTTTTATCCGGATGGTGTTCACAGACATGACGGCGAAAGAGGAACTGCTGACAATTCTGCCAATGAAGGAACACACTCGGGGCGAGGACATTTTTCGGACGTTTAAAAACTTTGTTGACAAAACTAAACTCCCCATGTCTAAGTTGAGTTCCATCACAACGGATGGTGCGCCTGCGATGGTGGGCCGGTGTAATGGCTTCATCGCAAAATGCAGAGAGGACGACATATTCCCTGACTTTCTGAATTATCCCTGCATCGTACACCAGCACGCACTTTGTGCTAAAATGCTGAACATGAAAGAGGTCATGGATGTGTCACTTAAAGTGGCCTGTTCTATTCGGGCAAGACCTCTTCAAAGACGGCTGTTTCGTGCATATCTGGAGGATGCCGACTGTGTTCACACTGACCTCTTACTACACACCGACGTAAGATGGCTGAGTAGAGGCAATTTTCTCGAGAGATTTCGAGTGCTTCTACCGGAGATAAAGGCATTTCTCCATGGCACCAAGCTCGCGGAGTACGCACGTCTAGATGACGAGGAGTGGCTGTTAGATCTGGCGTTCTTAACAGACATTACACACATGTTAAATGAGCTGAACTTGGAGCTACAAGGGAAAGACAGAACTGTGGTTAACATGATCAGCTCAGTTAATGCCTTCAAACGAAGACTGCATCTGCTGTGTTCAAAGCTGCAGCGCAAAGATTTGGCCAACTTCCAAAACATCGCCTCTGAGCTGGAGAAGCAAGGGAAGGACAGCGCGCTCCTTGACAGTGCGCGCTACACAGAGCAAGTCAATAACATTACATCTGACTTCGAGAAACGCTTCCGAGACTTCGCTTTGCTCGAGCCAATCGCCACATTCATGTGCTATCCATTTAGTGAAGACCATGATATTGATTCGCTGGCCCAAAACATCGGAGCAGTGTTTCATCTGAACCCGTCTGCGCTGCAGGATGAGATGTTGTCGCTGCAGGCCGACATCCAGTTGAAGGCGCGTGCCCATGCCGGACAGTTTTGGAACTTATTCAGGGTTGAAAATGTGCCACCTCACTGACCTCACTCTTCGGCTCGACTTATTTATGCGAGTCAGCCTTCTCCCAAATGAAGATAGTGAAGTCGAAATACCGTTCCCAATTAACTGATGAACATTTGGAGGCCTGCCTGAGACTAGCCATCAGCAGTTACCGTCCTGATTATGCAACATTGACGAACTCCATTCAGTGCAAGTCATCAGAATATGGTAGGGACCTACCTAAATATATTGAATTGTGTTTTGCAGCATTATATCAGGACCATGGAGAGATGTTTCTTACCCTGCTTGCTTTTATGTGTTTCTTAACACAGAGAGAGAGAGAGAGAGAGAGAGAGAGAGAGAGAGAGAGAGAGAGAGAGAGAGAGCGGGAGGAGACGGAGAGAGAGAGAGAGAGAGAGAGAGAGAGAGAGAGGAGAGAGAGAGAGAGAGAGAGAGAGAGAGAGAGAGAGAGAGAGAGAGACTATATTGGACCTATGTATATATCATTATAACTTTGAGAGACTGTTCATAGGACCCATTTGAGTCTGGTGTCTAAGTTGAGTGTTATACTCGTTTACTGTATTCCTTGTACTTATATTTGTGTTTTATGTTTAAGATTTCAGGACATGGAGAGTGGTTTCTTAGCCTGCTTGTTATGTGTTTCTTAACAGAGAGAGAGAGAAATAGAGAGAGGTTAACATGCCATTTTTGTTTCATGTATTCATGTATTTGTTTCTGTAATTATCCCATGTATAAATAAAACGTGTTATTCAGACCCTTGCCATTTGAGATTTTATTTTTGGTTGGTAGACCTCTGTGAGCTGGTCATTTCAAAAGTAGCCCACCGGCCCAGAAAGTGTGGGCACCCCTGGTCTAAGTGAACGATGACTGTAAAAACTACACTGAGCATGCTCAGAGTATTTTCCTATTTAATGTGTTTGGCAAAAAATAATGACCATAGGGGCAAAGAGCTGCCATCCCCACCATACGTCATCTCACATCATCATCAAGTACATGTGCCGCGAAAAGTGTGGTGTGTGAAGAGCAGGTGAAGAGGAGGAGAGAGACGCGTCCTAAAACCAGGAAGTAAGCTGCGCATGGCTTCCCTCCACAAAAAAGCAATGAGATTTCTCCATAGGATTTTAGAAAATAGCTCCAAATAAGATCTGTGGGAAACGTAGCTGTTAGATAAATGCACGTTTTGTTCAGCCACATAATATCCACATGTCTACCCTACTTTTATCATTTTCGAATCATAAATCTATCGATTAGATGTATGATGGACTTTTGAAACTACAAGAAGATAAGGAGGACTTTTACAAACAAGTAATAGAGATTGTTGTCCAGAGGGATAGGCAAATGGACTTCATCTTCAAGTCAAGGTAAGACCACAATTTTATTGAAAATGGGATCTTACTAAGAGAGAACAATTCAATATGTAAATGATAACATTACATTTTTTGGTTATCCTTCTGTTGAACTGTCTGTTTAAAATTAATTGAAGCATCAGACAAAAAAAGCTTTTGAAAATAATATTATATTTTGATTTAGGTCAAAATATAATATTTGTAAACCTGAAGAGTCAGAGCCTCAGCAGCCATGAACCTCACTGCAGAAGCTTATATATAGACATCTACGTTTTTTGTGCCCCACCACTTTTGTACATATAGAAAACGCCACTGAAAACACTTTACACTGTATCAAGACTGTCAATTTGTCAAAGTTAGCCAGTAACTACAGCTTTGTTTGTCACTTACCTTCATAATTGTCGACGTAGCTGGATATGTAGCTACATCTTGAACCCCTTTTCTCTTTTGCTCCTCGGGGCTGAGCCTGCCGCTTGTACCAGCCGATGTACATCACTGATATTAACCTTCGGTAGGTCTTGGAGACATCGAGTGTAAAATAGTACCTATATAATATCTAAGCTATCTATACGCTATCTATTGCTATATATACACTACCTATCGCTCTTCCCTCTACTCTACTGTAGACCGGAAGTTTACAACCGCACACTCAATTAACCGGAAGTTGATAGACGCCATCTTGTGCAACTAGCCCATTGGGAGATACAAAAACGATGGCCTGTCGCAGCGAATCAGCGCGAGCCAGCCGAGGCGACCCGGAAACAAGAGTCTCTTAAGTTTGAGGCAAAGCAGACACATTTGGTGTCTGGTACGAACTGCTCCGAATAACAAGTTCATTATCTTGCATCTTGCAGCCTGCACACACACACACACACATTTTGCATAGACTTCCTTCTCTCCGGCCCCCTCCCCCATCAGTTTAATACACACACAGTTTCACATACTTTTGGCATTTTTAAGATATGTTTAAGATATAGTTGTTTATAGTTGGCTAATACAAGTAATACATGTAAGTTACTTTAGGTGCACATCACTTTTTGAGTGAGTTACTCAGATGAGTACCAGGAGACAGCGTTTGGTACTCACCCCACACGAAGCGTGGTCCTCCTCAGTGTCTCCTTCACTGTCCTCTATTTACACTTCTTGCATGCTGGATGATGAAGATGGTGAAGATGCCCTGTCTCTTTTTAAGCCTCCGATTTGCTTTCTCCAAAACTTGTTGCCAAAACTGTGAAGTCCTTGCATTTCCTGAGGCCAAGTTGAAGGATCAAATACTAAGAAATTATCACATGACTTGAAGTCATATCTGATTTCAGATGTGGGAACTTACTAAGTACACTTCTTCAAGTACTCTACTTAAGTACAATTTTGAGATATTTGTACTTTACTTGACTTTGATCTAATTTGTAAAATTAGCTGCACCTTTACCAGCTTTGAGAACACTTTAATGATCAATCATTACAAAATATATCATATATATTATTCTGAAATGGACCAATCTGCACAATGATTACTTTTACTTTTGGTACTTTCACTATATTTTGATGAGAATACTTTTCTACTTTTACTTGAGTAACATTTTGAATGCAGGACTTTTACTGTAACAGAGTATTCCTACACTCTGGTACTTCTACTTTTACTCAATTACAAGACCTGAGTACTTCTACTTTTACTCAAGTACAATATCTGAGTATTCTACTTTTACTCAAGTACAATATCTGAGTACTTCTTCCACCTCTGTCTGATTTCAAACTCTTCCATAACACCCTGAGTAAGTTTGCAACTGTGTGTTTTACTCCACTTTGGTGTAAATCAAACTGCAGCAGCTTGACCACAGAGCGTGAACGTTGTGATCAGCTGATTTTGCGCAGTTCGCAGTGTGTGCGCGCGGGGCACAGAATGTGCACAGGGAGTCTCCCACTGCAGCCAGTTGGCGGAGTTTTGGCACAATTCTGTTGTTCATACCGACCTTAACCCTGTCTGTGCACACGGCGACCAACTCTGTTGTCCGGTGATCTAAGCCTCCTGTAAGCTTCACAGGTCCGTCGGTTATGTCCTGCGCGGCTCGGCCAGCACCAGTTAAATCAGTCACAGAAAGTCCGAAGAATTTTTGCAGGGAGCGAAACGACAACGTAGCTGCTTAATGTATTGTTTTTTTTTTGACATGTCTCGCAGTTTACTCCATTGAGTGTTGACAAGAAACACGTGTAGACGAAATATGTATTTTGTTTTGATATTTTGAGGTGCAAAGGCGCGTAGTGATACAAGTGACGTTACGCAATTCAGATTTTTGCCGCGCATGCGTACCTGCGTACCAGTTATGTGCACCCCTGCATATATTGTAGGCCACTTGAGTAAAAGTAGAAGTACTCAGATCTTGTGTAACCGGTGTCGTTAAGCGGTCTCTGCGTTGTGTTTTGCGTTGTTCATGGGTGAGACCCGAGCCAGCGACATAATAATCAACGACAATCTGACCAAATATAACGAATCAGTATTACATTTGTTATCCCTCACAGTGACTCCTCTCACGTGGAACATTTACAAAAAGGCAAGAGGAAACGTGAGGGACACATTAGGAAGGGGGAAGTCCCCACAAAAAGTATCTTCTGAGTACAGTGACTAAGTTTCAGAGGTTCCGCCCACTGACCTCCGACCTTGTCAGGTATTGAACATTCAATAAATGAAGAATACAGAATTATTAAATATAAAACACAGAATGTGTGTGATTATACTAAATGATTTACACATGAACACCACTGCATGTTCACAACTGTTACACTTGTAGCCGACTTGAGTAAAAGTATAAGTACTCAGATCTTGTACTTGAGTAAAAGTAGACGTTTTTTTTAAAAGTCCATTCATATTCTGGGAGAATACAGTAATAGATGCAATAAATGCAGCAGGGTTAATAATCCAGAAACACACATATATATATATATATATATATATATATATAATAGGGAACAATTGAATGCACAGTTAACACTAGAGTACTTAAATACCTCAACACTTTAACTTCAGTGAGGTTTTGAATGCAGGATGTTTACTGGTAGGCCTGTTCATGTTTTTAATAACTCTGTTGAGCTGAAAAGGAAATGGCATTGTTTTTGTTACTGGTGAACTGGTTCAGCTGGTTATAAAACAGAGGGAGGAGCTGCAGACAGGTGAGGGTGTCAAAGTCAAAGTAAGAAGTCAGACAGCCAGACGCCATTTTACAGCACGACGGAGCAGAAGGAGAACAACAGGGTGAGTAGATCTGCTTTCTAACAGATTCATTATTTACTCTGTCAGACTGATAACATAACTTCTCTGTTAAAGTTCCTAGAGTCCAATGAGACTTCTGCAAACTCTTTGTAATTCCTGTTTGCTGATTCATCAGTTACATAAGATGTGACAGCGCAGTGTGTGTGTGTGTGTGTGTGTGTGTGTGTGTGTGTGTGTGTGTGTGTGTGTGTGTGTGTGTGTGTGTGTGTGGTGTGGTGTGTGTGTGCGTTGTGTGTGTGTGTGTGTGTGTGTGTGTGTGTGTGTGTGTGTGTGTGTGTGTGTGTGTGTGTGTACCTTATATATATATATGTTCCATGTCTGTCAGAAACACAGACCATTTCCAGTAATTCACAGTCAGCTGTTGGGCTCTGAGTGTGTGGGTGTAGTTTTATGTTTGTCCACTAGATGGTAGTCCAAGCTCTGTTTTCTCCTCAAGTATTTTCTGTGATTTCCACCTGAGCGATGAACAGAGGTGGAAGAAGTACTCAGATCTTGTACTTGAGAAGAAGTACTCATATCTTGTACTTGAGTAAAAGTAGAAGTACTCAGATCTTGTGTAACCGGTGTCGTTAAGCGGTCTCTGTGTTGTGTTTTATGTTGTTCATGGATGAGACCCGAGCCAGCATACAGTTTAGAGCAGGGGGGTCAAACTCAAATACACAGTGGGCCAAAATAAAAAACTGGGTAGGCCTACTAGTCGAGGGCCGGACTGGTTCAATGTTTATTGCAGAACTTATTGAAATGAACTTAAAGCACATATTAAACCTGGAACTAACAAAGCTTCAATTATTGCCTATAAAAACAACATTAAATAATCAGTTGCATTCATTTCTTACGGCTCTATCTGCAGCTTTTCCAGAGTCATTTCTTATGAGTACATTTCTCCACAGGCCAACAACAGCTTCAACAAAACTATTCCCCTCAAAGAGAAAACCAAACATGCCCTGTTGTCGTGAGAGAAAGTGCAGAAGGAAGCATCCATTGAACTCAGTGTGCTGCTCTGTGATGCTAGTTCAGATACTTGGCATCTCATCTTGGGTGCAAGGTCATCAATGTTTGGGCTCAGGCTCTGAGCTGAGGAGACCCTCAGGATGGAGTGAAGGTGTGAGAGCAATATACCGGCGG